ATCATCTGCAAATAATGACATTTTGACTTCTTTTTTACCAATCTGGATGCCTTGTATTTCTTTGTTTTGTCTGATTGCCGTGGCTAGGACCTCCAGTACTATGTTGAATAACAGTGGGGAGAGTGGGCATCCCTGTCTTGTTCCCGATCTCAGAGGAAAAGCTTTCAGCTTCTTATTGTTAAGTATGATGTTGGCTGTGGGCTTGTCATATATGGCCTTTATTATGTTGAGGTACTTGCCCTCTATACCCATTTTGTTGAGAGTTTTTATCATGAATGGATGTTGAATTTCGTCAAATGCTTTTTCAGCATCTATGGAGATGATATTGTGGTTTTTGTCCTTCCCCTTTTTGTTGATGAGGTGGATGATGTTGATGGATTTTCGAATGTTGTACCATCCTTGCATCCCTGAGATGAATCCCACTTGATCATGGTGTATGATCCTCTTGATGTAGTTTTGAATTCGGTTTGCTAATATTTTGTCGAGTATTTTTGCATGTATGTTCACCAGGGATATTGGTCTGTAATTTTCTTTAGAACATTTTTTACTCCAAAAAGAAAGCCTGTCACCATTCACTCTTTCGCCTCCTCCTCCCCCAGCCCCTGGCAGGGACTGATCTGCTTTCCGTCTCTGGATGTGCCTGTTCTGGACGTTCCACGTTAATGGAATCATGCATGTGGCCTTTTGTGTCTGGCTGCTTTCACTCAGTGTGTCATTTTCCAGGTTATTTGTGTGGTACTGTGTGTCAGGGCTTTGTTACTTTTTATGGCTGAGTAACATTCCGCTGGATGGATGGGCCACATTTTATTCATCTGTTCATTGGTTAATGGATATTTGTGTTTTTGTAATTTTAGCTGTTGCAAATAATGCCCCTGTGGACACTTAACACGCAAGCTTTTGTATGGGCATACAATTTCACTTTTCTGGGGTATATACCTAAAAATGAAATTACTGGGTCATATGACTCTTTGTTCCTTTTAAGGAACCACTGGACTGTTTCCAAAGTGGCAGCACTGTTTTACATTCTTGCCTGTAATGCATAAAGGTTCCAGTTTTCCCACATCCTTGCCAGCACTTGTTATTTCCTATTTTTTACTGTAGCCTTCTTAGCAGGTGTGGGTGTGGAGTGGTAACTCTTTGCCCCTATTGTTTTCTCTAATGATGTTGAGCATCTTGCTTATAGGCCATTTGTGTATCTTCTTTCAAGAAAAGTCAATACAGGTTCTTTGTCCGTTCTTAAAGTGAGTTATTTGTCTTTTCATAGCTGAGTTGTAAGAGTTCTGTGTATTTTCTCCTTATGCTGGTCCTGTACCGTCTGGACAGCTACAGCTCTGTAATAGTATGTTTTGACATAAAAAAGTATGAGTCCTCCAACTTTTTGTTCTTTTTTACGATTGTTGTGGCTATTGGGGATCCCTTGCCTTGCCTTACAGACCTCAGCCCCAGCGTGTTGGCGCCTGCACAGAAGTGGCTCAGGTTCTGGTGGGAGGCGTGCAGTCTGGGCTGTCCTGGTTCTCTCTGTGTTCTCTCTGCTCAGACACTTCCCTGGGCCCTTTCTGACCACGAACTGGTGGGCCTGTCCCTGTGGGGGCTCTTTGATGCCTCTCTCTCCATCAGAATGAGGCCCAGATTCCCTGGTGTCCCAGGCAGTTGCCACCAGGTGTCCCAGGCCCCCACACTGACCCTTCCCTTCCCTTTACCTCCCCCGCCTCCCGCCTGTCCTTCCCTCACGTGCAGCAGACCCCCACATTCGGAATTCTCCACCACCAATCCCCTTTCAAGTGTTCTGTGTCGTGTGCCCCAACCATGTCAGACTCGAGATCCACCCCTCTAAAGGTTGGGATAGAGAGACTGGGCAGCAGGGAACTCAGCTCCCCACAGTAGATCCGAGAGCTGTGACATTTTTGTCCTCAAAGCCGGAGCGGGAGACCCTGTGCCTGCTTTGGATTTTCCGCTGCAGAGCCCTGGCCAGCCCCGGGGACCGGCCTCACCTCCCCTGCCATCTCAGATCGCTCCTTCCTTTGATTCCTCCAGCCGCCACCCCCCTGGGCCCAGGGCCCCTCCCTGCCATCCCTGCTCCCTCTGTTGGTCCCTCAGGCTTTGCTCTCCCCTGGCCCTGCCCATCTATTATTTCACCTTTAGTTATAAGACATTCAGTAAGACTGCCTTGTTGAAAATCAAAATGCAAGAGGTCTCCCACCCTCCCCCTTTGTACCCCAAGAGGTGCAGGCGATCAGCTCTCCCAAGAGGCCTTCTAGAAATATCGTGTGCGTGTTTAGGTGGAGACATCCCCTCCATGTTCTCCCCTTCCTGCCTGCATGAATGCCATGTGGTGCACGTGTATACTCTGCTACGTGCCTTGTTTGCTTGACATTATAAAAGCAGTGTGAGGCACAGCGCCCCTCAGGGTGACTGGACTCAAAGCTGTCAGTCAGCTGCCTGGTGGGAATTCGCGTTGTTTGCGGAGCTGCAGTCATGGGCTCTGTGTGTTTTCACAGGCGCCCTATTCCTCAAGGAGGCTTTTCCTCAAAGTGGGAGGGTCTGGTCCGAGGATGCCTGCCCAGGCCCTCTCGATGGGCACTGTGGACTTGGAGAGCCCGGGCAGTGGGGAACCACCGCACCCACTCTCGTCCCTGGCAGTGTCATGGGGCTTCGAGAATACGTCCTCCGCCTCCCTTGCCCGGCCCCCCTTTGCTCTCACTGGACGTGACACTCCTCTCCCCATCTTGGGCCCCACTCCCGGGCCCCTGCTGCCGAGCTCTGTGCCTGCTGCTGCCTGCATGTTCTCTTGGTCCGTCCTAAGGGGCACTTATGTGGGGGTCCTCTCTGCCACACAGTATTAGTCCAATCTCCTTGTGCCCCCTCCCCCCCCCAACTCTGACCAGCAGCACCCATGCTATGTGGTACCGTTTATCCCAGTGCATTGGTGTTCAGGTGACACCTCTTTCCTCCCAACCCCTGACCACACTGGAGAGCAGCCACACAGAGGAGCTTTCCTCACAGGGAGTCCAGCCCCACTCCCGGAGCCTGGCCGCTCTCAGGCCATTGGTAAATGTTTGCTGAGGGACTTGGTAGGAGATTGAACCTCAGCAACTGAGCTGAGATGCACTCATTTGCAGTAGGTATGCATAGCCCAAGAGCATAGCCTCGGGGGGCAGGGAGCTGTCTGGTAGGATGTCCCAGGGGCTCCAGCCCAAGCTGTGACCCTGCTGTCTTGGATGCGCTCCATTTTCATCAGTCTCCAGTAAATTCGTGCAACCCTTCCCCAGGAATTACAAAACGATTTAGACCGGGAAACAAACAGTTTGCAGGAGCTAGAGGCTCAGAAGCAGGATGCCCAAGACCGCCTCGATGAAATGGACCAGCAGAAGGCCAAGCTCCGTGACATGCTGAGCGATGTCAGGCAGAAGTGTCAGGATGAGACACAGATGGTGAGTTCCTCACTTCATTTGGGCTCCTTGGAGCTCACGGTGACCTGGAAGCACAAGGCTGAGACGCCCTGTGGTTTAATGCAGTACTAGACATAGCATTCAGGGAAGCATTGGAGCATTTGAGGCCTGACCTTAGTTTCACCCAAGTTGTATGATTGAATGGCTTCAGTCCCCACAGCATGTGGTGTCTAGCATGGCCCTATGTCCCCCTCTGGCATCTTTGCTTCTTGTTACAAACCAGAGAGGCTGCAGCCTCAGCAGATAGTGAAACTCTTACATACGCCTCTGTGACCTCGTACGGGGCCAGACAGACTCCCTGTGCTTGTCCCAGGTTGCAATCCACCTTACCCCAAAACGGCCTTCTGTCAGTCACATGGGTTACATGTTTGCTCCGCTGTTTGTGTCTTAGGTTTGGGCATGGGGAGAGGGCCCCAGGAGGAAGCCCAGCGCCCAGCCTTTGGGTTGGTGTCCACCTCCCTGGGTCAGCTTGCTCCAAGAGCGTGACCTCTGAATTCCTCCTTGGAGTTCTGTTTCATCTCATTTCAGATTTCCTCGTTGAAGACCCAGATCCAGTCTCAGGAATCTGACCTCAAGTCACAGGAAGATGACCTGAACCGGGCTAAATCTGAGCTGAACCGACTGCAGCAGGAAGAGACTCAGCTGGAGCAGAGCATCCAGGCTGGCAGAGTCCAGCTGGAGACCATCATCAAGTCCCTGAAGTCGACACAAGATGAGATCAACCAGGTACCTCCCTGGGGAAGGGACCCTTGGGGTCTCGAACCAAGCAGAGTTTCTGCTATGAGCTGTCACGTCCATGCACGGCTGGTCTGTGCAGAGGCTTCTGTTCCCTTTGCTCTCACCCTCCTCACTCAAGTCCAGCTCCCTTCTTAGAAGCTGTTGTACTCTCCTGGAGGTCAAGTGCCAAGAGCCCCCAAGTTCACATCGACCATGGCCAGGCGGCAGTTTGCTTTGCCACACCGACCTTCCCCTTCCCCGCCTGAGCACATGTCCTTCACCAGGATGGGCGGGGGCGGGGCGGGACACTAAGTTAGCGGCTCCTCTGGGGAGAGCCGTGGGTCCAGGAAATGCCTCGCCAAGCTGGTCCTCACTCAGACAAGGGGACAGAGTCCAGGGCGTGTTCCAGAGCCTCTCTGTCCCCATGCAGTATGGAAATCAACACACTGAAGAGGCCCCTGCCCGGTGATGAGCATGGCCTCCCTCCCCATCCTGCTCTGGTGTGGAGGCCTCCTTCTTGGCCCTTGGGGTCCCGTCTGCCGAGCCGGGCTGATGTTTGCCCTCAGAACACCAACACGGCCAGTCGTGCTTCCTTTCTGAACTGAGTCCAGCTCTGCTGTTTTTGCCAGTTTACAGACAAAAGGTGATCTCAAACACGTACAGCATTTAATGCCGAAGGTTGTACCGTGTTGTTAATTAACTTCTGCAGGATTATCTTAACTCTTTCTCCTCCCAGCCCTTAGCATTTATAGAACGGAGATAGACACCAAGACATAAATGTTCTGTTAGTACTCATCACGATGATGGTGATGGTAATGACAGCTGCCTTTATGAATGCCCTCCCTGCCAGACGCTGCAGGGGACACTGTGCCCGTCCCTTCCAGTGGTCTGTTGTGGAGAAGGGAGAACGTAGAGGTCAGGTCCCCAGCCTGAGGTCTTGCTGCAGTGTGGATGAGACCTTTAAGATGCATGCCTGGGCCTGTCTGAACTCACAGATCATCTCCCTGCCCCCTGCTCTCCTGCCTTCTCCAGGACAGGGGGGAGCAAAGAGGTCGTAAAAACCCCAGAAAAGAAGATGACTGTCAAGTATCTCTTTAAACCGATTGTGAATCTGTATTTTGTCTGATTTCATTTTGTTGAGAACTGACAAACATTTGTCTGACCTTGGGCCTCTCTCAGGGATGCAGAGGGGCCTCATGGAGCAGTGAGAAGGGCCTTGTCCTGGCTGACAAGCAGTTTCTCTTATAAACATGGTAATGGGTCATCTGCTCCATAGATGCATAATTCAGTCGCCGTGTGCGTTGTTGGGGTTGGATGTAAGGAGAAAAAGTCTTGCCTGACACTTTTCCCCTAACCCCTATTTGATGTCGTTCATGTCTCTGTTGTGTAGGCGAGAAGCAAGCTTTGCCAACTGCACGAAAGCCCCCAGGATGCCCCCAGGGCCTTGGAGCAGTACGCCGAGGCACTCGACGGGGCCCCCGGCGCCGGCCTGACCAGCGTGACCGGCCTGAGCGAGGGCGTCTCCCTGACAGAGAGGGGCGGTTTTGGAGCCATGGTAAAGGTCGAATAAACGTATTCCAGTCCCAGGACTAGGTTCCACGCTGCAGTCAGAGAATGCCCTGCCCCCCGGGTCCGGCACCTGGCAGCCTGGTTCTGTCCATGAGCAGGTCTTCTTGATTTTGCTGCCGCTCTGGGTGTCCTGCTGGCCCCACTGCCCAGTGTCTGAGACTGCACACTCCTCCTGGCATCGAGGATAAAGCCAAGGACAGGGCCAGACCCTTTGTAAAACCAGTTTTTATAGACCCCCCTTCTCTGTGGTCCAGTCCCCCAAATTTGGATGGCTTCCACACTTAATCAAAATTGGATCAGTCTCTCACACATTGTGCAACCCCACATCCTACTTAATTGGGGGGCCAAGGGAATGTGTGTATCTGTGTTTCCACCTTGAAAATCAAGTGTATCGATAAAAGTCAAGAAAAATGACATCAGCCCTCCTGGGTAATTTCCATTTCACCTACAAATTGGCCTCTCTCCTGAGATTGGGGTTGCATTTAAAACCCTAGGACTTCAGTTGAAACCTCATGGCCCTGGGGTCCCTGATCCAGGCCCGTGGGACCTTTGACCTCCAGCTGCCCACATGTAGCAAGTGTGACTTTTTTCTCCTGTTGTTGTGTGCCCTGTCCCCACCAGCATCTGCTCTTGCAGTGGTGAACCCCAGCTTGTGCCTTCTCCAGTTTATTCTGGCCGAGAGCTGATGGGACATGGTTGTTCTCAATGGCATTGTTGGCTTGGTCCCCAAAGCCTTTAACCACTCACCCCATGTCTATTCCAGGGCCTCTACTGCTCCTGGCCCTGTGTGCTTCATAGATTCCTTCTCCTCCTTGTAATAATACAGCCCTCACCCCTCTCTCACTTTTCCCCACCTCCCTCCCTCCATATGGGAGGCTCTGCTCTTTATGTTTGTTTCTTGACATGTTCCTTTAGTCAGCAGCCAAGTACTTAGTCCTAAGGGTTTATTGGAGGCACACATCTCCTTACCCAAACTGCTTAGAAGACACTGTTGAGTGTCCCCATTTGTCTCCTTCCTCTGGCCATTGCTGCCTCCTGGCTGAACTCCACATCTGCTTTGGGGTCCGTACCTGCTTGACCGGCTATGTCTGGACTAAGAATCCATTCTTCACGAACCCCATGGGGCAGAACTGCCCGTTTGGCTGCCCAGTTTTCTTGGTCTGTGCCCTGGGGCTTCCCAGCCTGGCTCTTACTTTTCCTACCTGGCATCAGTACTCTTTTGCTGGCTGTCTCCTTCTCGCTTGCCTCTTTCCATCCTCATTCATGAACAGCTCACTCTTAAGCCCCTTTACAGGTTTTAATAAGATCAGTTTCCCTGGATAAAAAGTTGGCGGTGAAGTGGCAGTTTGTAAATGGCCAGTGACTCCCCTGCACCTCCAGATTTTAAAAATCAGTCTTTATTCATCTTATAAGTGGGTCACAGTTTACATGATCGTTAATTCATCTTGGCATGTTGACGTCAGATATGTTACATAGAAACTCTTGACCAGTATCTGAAAGAGAACCTATTTATCTTGTACAAATACTGTTTTTAAAGCATTTATGGGTTTGTGTCCATTTCTTAATAAATACTTTGAAGAGGGCTTTCTGTTTACTCCTAAACATTTCAAGACTGTTCCAAGAGCTGCATCTAGAATTGTAATAGTGTAAATGAGAGCTGCATCTAGAACTTCCTAAATCTAGTCAGTGCCACTAAAGTTACTAAGCTTAGTGTTAAGCTCACAACTGTGACTCTGTCCAAGAAACACAGGATCTTAAAGCTGCATTTCTTGTTTCTCATCCACTGATGAGAACACTGGCCTCTTGTCTGTGCAGACAGCACCCAAACAACCTGTTTGGTAGAGAGAAGGCAGTAAGTCATCCCAGACTGCAGCCTCGCCGAGAACGCACATGAAGACTGGGGTGTCCGCATCCAGCCCCCAGCAGCCCCTGGACTCTCTAGAGCCAAACTGTTAGATACAAATGTTGTAAGCTTGTTGTTTGGCCGTCACTGGGTGACTTGAAGTCAGCCACAGAGGGAATATGTACATTGTGGGCCTTGGCAGAAGCCATCAGAGAGGGCTTTGTTGTGGAGAGCAGGCTCACCAGCACCCCACTGCCCCACCCCCATGAAAGGGAAGGAATGTTGCAGAAACTCCGAGGTGTCTGCTCATTGTTGTCATGTCTACTTCCTAAGCCGTGAAGAGTTCACAACCAGTCATTGCGCTTGCCGCTCAGGGTTCTTTTCCTCTGTGAGGGACGGGTCGTCCCCTCACGGCCGGTGTGCTGCGCTGGCATCTCCAAGCTGGCATATGGCTCAGTTCTCACTGGTGGGTGGTCAGTGGATGGTGGAGTTGCTGGCTTCTCTGTGGCAGGAGAGATCTAGTTTTCTGCTCCAAATGTGAAATGGAATCAAAACCACTGGTAGCTACTCCAGCCACGTGAGTGCTGCTGGGGTCTTCTCAGGCTTCTCTGAAGGCAGCCGAGTGATTGCTGCCTCAGGCAAGCAATTGCTCCTGAGACAGATGGCAGACCCGACTTTCAGGCGAAGGTCTTGCGGCCGGAGTTCCCAGAATCACCCTCTGCTGCTGGCCACTTGGCAGTCTTCCAAGTGGCGTCTGAAAACATTGGAAAAAGGAAAACCAATAAAAACAAAACACCTAACTTGTAAATCAACTCGCATTAAAAACAAAATAGACACATCTATTTTGAGGCTGAGCTGTTACTCTTAACTTGCTGCTTTGTCCAGGGCATCATCTCTCGGTTCTTCCGGAACAGATAACATTCCTCCCGAGTGGTGCAGGGCGGGAGGTGTGTGCCCCACCCTGGCCTCCGGGCTCCCATAGGTCCGGGCACCTCCATCAGTGTGTCCAGGAACTCCTCAGATGCTCACTGGGTGCGGGCTCTCATGCTCATTAGCGCCAAGATGGCCCCCCAGAGCTGCGCACTGCTTACAGACATCTACTTAACCTGCCTAAGAACCCAGACTGGTTTCCCCGCCTCGGGAAGCCCTGAGGTTGGAGGCTGCAGATACTCCTCCCCAGGTAAGAGGTGTCCTTCTGTGATCGTCAGCAGGCAGGGCGTCGGTTGTCCTGAAGCCCGTGGCTTCCTGTTGGGCCAGCCCCTCCGAGACCCGTCCCAGTGCCCAAACTCATCCGGCTCAGGGCGGTAGGAGCCTTGTCCAGAATCTTCCTTTGGCAGCTTTGATGTCATTGCCTCGTAACCTGTCTGTTTATTTTGACGGAAGCTCCCAGCTCTTTAATTATTTTGGTTGGTTGGAATAATGGATGTTTGCCAGTCCTGCAGATGCTGACACATTAGCCAGATTCAACGAGGATGTTGTGTTTTTTAATATCCCAGTGAAACCTGCATGTTTTCACTGAGGGTGTGTCTTTTTTAATCAAAATACACCCCATGTTTCTAAACCAAGTGCGTTGTTCCTATGTATATTGCAAACATACACACCAGTTCAGGCCACTTTTTACTACAAAAATGTGCTCTTCAAAAGCAGTTATCTTTTTCCTCTGGTTTAAACACGCTTGTTTGTTTCTAGAAATAAGTACTTAAAAAGAAAATGCAAAGTATTGGACATGCTCTAGTAGTTCCAACTGCGCAAGCACCCATTTCCTCCCAGGGTGTAAATAGTGTGTTTTTCGGTGTGGAAATGGTGTTTTAAAAAAATGCCTGCAGAGGTACACACTCTCTGAGAAAAATATGGTCGAGGGTGGTCACACCTTGGAATGAGGCCCAAGCTGCCATTTCTGAGTGGCTTGTCACATTTTCTCTTTAAAATTCGAAAAATACTACTTTTCTCTTACTGGCTTTTTAAAAATTTAATTAAGGTAACATGCATGTAACATAAAATTAACCATCTTAACTGTTTTTCAGTGTCCAATCAGTAATGCTAATACTCACATTATGTAGCTAAGCTCTAGAAATATCTTACACCTATGAAGCACTAATTGCCTCTTCCCGAGCCCCAGCCCCTGGTGCACCCATCTACTTCCTGCCTCTGTGGACCTGGCTCTTCTAGGGACCTCCTGCAAGTGGGGTGATACAGGTGCCCGGCTTATTGGGTCACTCAGTGCAATGTTCTCGAAGTTCATCCGTGTCGTTGCATGTGTCAGAATCTCCTTCCTTTTTAAGGCTGGCGTAGTACTGTTACATGGATGGACCACATTTTGTTTAGCCATTCATCCATCAGTGGACATGTGGTTGCTTTACCTCAGTGATTTTTAAATAAACTGATTTTAGAAGAGTGTGAAACTTAAAGAAATACTGCAGAGGTACAGAGAGGGACTGTCTAGAGCACACCCACCTTCCCCAATCACTGATGTGGTGGATGGATGGTAACACCTGTCACAGCTGATGAAGCAGTGTCCACACGTTACCGCTAACTCAAGTCTAGATTCCCTTGGTAATATTTTTTTAATCATTCTCTTTAGGGTCACACCACTTGGTGGGGAAATATGCACGTCAGGTATGGAATTTTGTACTTTGCTGTACATACGAAATAATAAAATCTCTGTCCTGTCTCTTCACACAATTTTAGGACGATCCTTTCAAAAATAAAGCCTTGTTATTTAGCAACAATGCCCAAGAATTGCATCCGGATCCTTTCCAGGCTGAAGACCCCTTCAAATCTGACCCATTTAAAGGAGCCGATCCCTTCAAAGGTATCTTGCTGGCACCTGCTTTGTTATTGTAAGGCTGTTAGGTTTGTGCCAGTTGGTGTTCACCAGCGACTAGAATATTTAGGAGCTACCTCCCTCTGAAATGGAGAAGAGAAGGCATTCTTAGAGCCTCAAGGGCCGCTTGCCTTTTCCCCCTCAGCCATCTAACCACAGAGCTGAGGCCTTGGGGATGGGGCAGGAAGAGCTCCGGGCTTGCAGCAGTGCCCGTGTTCAGGGGCAGCTATTTATTCTGCATGATTCACTTCCCATCCACCCCACGGGTGGTAAGTTCTTCCTCACCCGCCTCACAGGGTTGGTAAGATAACCAGATGAAATAACGATTATGAAACTACCCAGAAAATGACAGATGCCTACGAAAATCTAGTCTTCATGTGGTGAGTCTTCCAGGGCCATGCAAGGGTCAAGAATAAAATTAATTCTGGAAACCAGATTTCCTACATTTCTGCATTTGCTCAGAGCAAAACAGTATTTCCAGGAAGACCGTCTGCACATGTCTGAGAAGAATGCCAAGGCAGGGATAGGGCAGCGGGAGAGCCCTTCCCGTTGCAGCGTCAGGATTGGAGCACCTCAGGTCTGAGCCGCGACTCAGCAGCCCTGGGAGTTATGCTGTGCGCAGCTGGGGACTGAGGACCGGGCGGGCCCTGAGTCCCGGGACAAGGGTGGGAAACAGACTTAAGAGTGAGGCCAGGCATAGAAGTACGGATTCTGGCTCATGCATTACCCCCAACTCTGGCCCATGTTGGGTGGCTATTACCTTTCATTTCATCTTAAATGTCCTTGCTAAGAAAAACCACCTCTGCTAGGGGCTGTCCCTGTCCTGCTAATGTGGATATGCCAAGGTCATTTCTAACACGGAGCTAAACTTGCCTCTTTCCTCTGATCCAGGTGACCCGTTCCAGAATGACCCATTTGCAGAACAACAGGCAAGTTCAACAGGTAAAAGCCTCTGTTAACCGTTACGTGGCCTGGCCTTCAACGTCGCATTCCTAGCTCCAGTTGAGGGAAATGGGAAAACAGCCTCTCCCCACCGTCTCCCACAGTGTGGTAGCAGGACAGGGGAGGGCAGTGTCTGGAGCCACCCAGTCATGACGTCGTCCCTCCACTTCACCACCTGGCGCCCCTCCTTGCCACTCTCACAGCTGGAAAAGAGTGCCAGTGGCCACGCCATTGTTCAGACACACCCGCTGCAGCTTAGATCACTCAGGCCCACCTGTGTTCTTGTGGTGGTGTCAGGTCCCATGGAGCACTGGCACACACTGCACTTGAGTCTGTGCACACCAGGGCTGGCAGCAGGGCATCCTGGGGGATGGCCAGTGCCTCGCAGACGTCTCACCGTCACAGTACTCCTGGTGATGGCATCTTCCTGGCTGCAGTTGCCGTGCCCACGCCCCACGTTTGAGGGGAATGAACATACCGTGCCTGTGATGGGATCACTGCCTGTTTAATTTTTCCTTTATTTAAAATTTTCTTCGTTTTTTTACTGAGGCGAAATTCGCATAACTTAGTCAGCCATTGTAAAGCGAACAATTGGGAGCATTTAGTACATTTATGATGCTGTGCAACCATTATGTGTGTCTAGTTCCAGAACATTCCTGTCACCCAAAGGAGACTGTGTCCCCGTGAACAGTCACTCCCCATCCCCTTTCGCAAGCCCCTGACAGCCACTGACCTTTCTGTCTCTATGGATTTACCCACTTTATTTTTGTTATTTTTAAAATCAGCTTTATTGAGAGGTGTAAGTTAAAACAAAATTTACCACCTTTACGTCTTTAAATTAGATAAGTTTGACGAACACGTAGTCATGTAAGATAGAGAACATTTCCATCATCCCCAAAGGTTCCCTTGTGCCCCCTACAACTCCCTACCGCACAAGCCCCAGGCCCCGGGGCCCCTGACCAGCGCTCTGCCACTGTGGTGTTCGCTCTTCCTAGAATTCCACACAAACGGCACTGGCCAGCTGTGTGTGCTCTTGCATCTGGGTTCTTCCACTCAGCATAACATGTTGATGGGCATTTTTTTCTTCACCTTTCAAAACACCTAGATCCGTTCGGAGGGGATCCTTTCAAAGAAAGTGACCCATTCCGTAGCTCTGCACCCGACGACTTCTTTAAGAAACAGACAAAGAACGACCCATTTACCTCAGACCCATTCACAAAAAACCCTTCTTTACCCCCAAAGGTGAGTGATGCCACCAAGGTGCAAGCACCACCTGCATGCCCACTTTGTGGGTGTGGAGGCAGCCCTTCCTTATCTGGGTTAGGGGCTCCATCATTGAGCTGCTTGCCAAGCCTGACGAATGCAGGCATGGGCCACGTGTGCTGTGTGAGGCCAGGTTACTGTCCAGGAGCTGGGCCGTGGCCTAGTCTCCTTACTGGCAGGCAGGTGACCAGTCGTGCAGGTCCCTCTGACGCTCACCCTGTGAAGCAGGGTGTCACATTCAGCAGCCCAGCAAGCCAAAGTCAGGGGGGTTGTCTACTAAACAGCTGTCATTCCTCTGTCCCTGTCTGTGCCCCATGACTTCAGCTCATGCTCACAGACTGGATTCTGTGCTCTGTCACCTGCGTCCACTGCTGCTCCATGTCCCAACAGATAATAAAGCTACATGTTCCCATGGACCACCCCAGCCTCCATATGACCGCTGGCCGTCTTCCCAGCATGCAGCACTGATGGTGACACTGGGGTCAGACTGCCCCAGTGGGTCCCAGTCATGGCAGGAGGACATCCAGACCTGCAGTCTGGCAGCACTTACTGTGCACTCATGGGCCCCCTGCTCTCCCCAGCGTGGTGTGAACTGTGCGCTTTATACAGTGTTAGGCCCAGCAAACTGGATTGAGTCGATGTCAACTAGGATTTAAAAGGCAAAAAAGTGGCTTTGTGATTGAATAGGGAGTTTTCTTGTCTAAGTGAGGGCAATTTATAGCTTCCCTTCATGTCCTGGGCTGCATCTCTGTTACCATCTGACATAGTCCCTGCCTTCTGCTGGTCTGCAGCCCTGCGCCCAGAGGTCCTGGAAGTCAGGGACCACTTTGTGATGTATCTGTCTGTGAGACCTGTTGTAGGACCCCCTTCCTTCCAGTTTCAGCCGTCTGCTCTCAACTCTGCATTTATCGATTTTGTTGACTCTTCCATGAGTCAACTTTCGGCCGTGTGAATTTTCTTTCCTGTTTTCTGTTTCACTGATTTCTGCTCTTTATTATTTCCTTCCTCCTACTTATTTTGGTTACTTTATTCTTCTATTTCTGACATCTGAAGATCCAACCTTAGGTCATTTGTAGAGCATCTTTCCCAATATAAATGTTTAAAATTGCACATTTCCCTCTAAGCACTGCTCAGCTGCATTTCACATATTTTGACATGTTGTATCTTCACTGTAATTGCATTTGAGATATATATATATATATTTTTTTTTTGAGAGGGCGTCTCTCATTGCACAGCCCTCCCCTTTCCCCCACCCCCACATTCTTCCCTGCCCTTACCCCTCCCTACCCTCCCATTCTCCCCAGTCCCTTTCCCTTTGGTAACTGTTAGTCCCTTCTTGGGTTCTGTGATTCTGCTGCTGTTTTGTTCCTTCAGTTTTTCCTTTTTTCTTATACTCCACAGATGAGTGAAATCATTGGGTACTTGTCTTTCTCCCCCTGGCTTATTTCACTGAGCATAATACCCTCTAGCTCCATCCATGTTGTTGCAAATGGTAGGATTTGTTTTCTTCTTATGGCTGAGTAATATTCCATTGTGTATATGCACCACCTCTTCTTTATCCATTCATCTATTGATGGACACTTAGGTTGCTTCCATTTCTTGGCTATTGTAAATAGTGCTACAATAAACATAGGGGTGCATCTGTCTTTTTCAAACTGGAGTGCTGCATTCATAGGGTAAATTCATAGAAGTGGAATTCCTGGGTCAAATGGTAAGTCTATTTTGAGCATTTTGAGGAACCTCCATACTGCTTTCCACAATGGTTGAACTAATTTACATTCCCACCAGCAGGGTAGGAGGGTTCCCCTTTCTCCATAACCTCGCCAACATTTGTTGTTATTTGTCTTTTGGATGGTAGCCATCCTTACATTTGAGATATTTTTCAGTTTCTCTTGTGATTTCTCTGTTGAACCATGGCTTACTTAAAGTACATTGTTTTTTCCCCTCTACATATCTCATAATATTGGTTTCAAGTAAAGTCTGTTATTAAAGAGCATTTTACACATTTTTGCAGACCTTTTACACTTACTGAGACTCATTTTATGGTCTGTGTAGCTGCACGTACCACACAGAGTGGAGAAGAATGTCTGCAGTGTCCTGGTTTACAGATGCCATTTAGGAAAAGGTGGATAATAGTATCGTTAGTATAGATCATCTTTATCTTTACTGCTTTTGTTTGTTATTTGAGTTTTAGCTCTGCCATTCCCTGAGAGAGGAATGTTTGTCTTCTCCCCTGATTGTGGAATTGCCTGTATTCCCTTAATTCTGTCAAGTTTTACTTCATGTATTTTGAAGCTCTGTCTATGCCTACACATTTATGATTGTCATATCATCCTGATGCAGTGACCTTTTTTCATCATTATAGAAGGTTTCTTTATTCCTCTTTGTCTTGAAATCTTTTTTATGACATTAAAATAGCCACTTCATCCTCTTTATGCTTCCTTTTTTCATGCTCTATCTTTTTTTATCCATTTACTTTCAGCCTGTATAGATCCTTACATACGAAGGATCTTTTGTATCAAGCATGTAGGTGGGAACTCCATTTCTATCCCGTCTGGAAATCTCTGCCTTCTAAATGGAGTGTCTAGTCCACTAACATTTAGTGCAGTTATCGATATGGTTGGAGTTAAGTCTACTATTTCATTATTTGCTTGCTTTTTATCCCCCTGTGTTCTATTCTCTGTTCTTTTTCTGCCTTCTTTGGATTATTTGACCATTTTCTAGGATTCCATTTTCTAGTATCTGTTGGCCACTTTTAACTATATGTCTTTTTATTATTTTTTAGGGATTACCATGTACACTCTTTTCATAGGCTACTTGGAGTTAATATTACATCACTTAATGTAAAATGTACAAAACAACCAACCATGTAGGTCAATTTATCCACCTTCCCCCCCAGCCAGCAGAATTTCTTATGTTATTGCTATCCTGTGAAGGTAATACATCTAAATATATTACAAACCCCATAAGACAGTCTTTATCAATTTTGCTCTTATCCACTGTATGTATTTTAAAGGAATTTTAAAGAGGAAAAAAGTAGCTTGTAATTTTTACCCAAATATTTACCATTTCTAAAGCTCTAAATTCCTTTCTCAAGATCTGATTTTTCCTTCATTATCATTTTCCTTCATCCTGAAGAACCAACTTCCTTTGGCACCTCTTACAGTGACATTTGTTGTCATTCTTGCAGGCTATTTATGCTTTATCTAGTAGTACTATTCTTTCTGGCACATTTAATGTGTTGTTCCACTGCCTTCTGGCTTCCATTGTCCTGAATGAGAAGTCTTCAGTCTTTCCACAGTCATTCTCCATACGTAGTTTGTTTTTCTCTGGCTGCTTTAAGAGCTTCTCTATATCTTTGCTTCTCAGTAGTTTTACTGTGAAGTATCTGGATATGGTTTTCTTTCTATTTATGCTGTTTGGGATTTGCTGAGGTTCTTAAATCTATATACTATGTCTTTCACCCAATTTGTTAAGTTTTCAGCCAGTATTTCAAGAATATTTTCTTTTTCTACCCTATTCTTTCTCTCCTCTATTTGTGGGATTATGGTTATACCTATGTTAAACCTTTTGCTAATGTCCCCACAAGTCCCTGAGGCTATTTTTTTTTCATTCTTATTTTCTTCTTTTCATATGGAGTAATTTCTCCTTCTCTATCTTCAACTTCACTTTTTTCTCTATCATCTGTTGTTTAATGAAGTTTCTATTCTAGATAATATACTTTTCAGTTTTAGAACTTTTGTTCATTTTGTACAGTTTTCTGAGTTTCTGTTTCTCTATTAAAATTGCCTGCCTTTGTATTTATCTTGGGTATATTTTCCTTTATCTCACTGAGCACAGTCACTGCTGCTTTAATATTCTCCTCATCTGCGTCGCCCTGGGTTTGGCCCCACCAGTTGTCTTTTCTCTTGAGAGCTGGCTGTATCTTTCTGGTTCCTGGTATGTTATATAATCTAGAAATGTGTCGTATGCATTTTGAGTGCTCTGTTTTGGAGACTGGATTCTGTTGCATCCCTCCAAAGAGTGTGGATGGTTTTGTTTGAGCAGGCGGTCACCTTGGTGAGATTCACTGCACACGCACTCTCCCTTGCCTGCAGTTTCACAGCAGGGTCTGTAGCTAGGCTTCTCTCTGTCTACATACCATGCACCATACAGCTGACTCGTCAGCCCTTGACTTGGGCTGAGCTTATCCTGGAATTTGGGGCTCTGGTTCTCTGCCTCTCCTTTCTGGATCCCCGATCCCCTTCCCATGGCTGCAGTTGTCCTGGGCCACCATCCTTTGTCTTTAGGCCAGAAAGATGGTGATTTTCTACTGGGGTTTTAGCCTCCTGATACTGTCAGATTATAGCTGTCAAAATGCAAAAACTCAAACTTACACTATTTTTTCTGCCAACTTTCAATTCTCCTCCAAAATCTTCTGGCTTTAGTTCACTTCCTGACCCTTCAGGTGGTTGCCTTTGTTTTGTTTTGTTGCATTTTGTCCAGCATGTGTAGATGTTATCTGCAGGAGGGGTCCGTCTGTTGAGATCTGACTCTGATGGGGTTTAATTTAAATCATTTTAGACTCCCCACGGCCAGGCACCAGACATGGTATGTGTGTCTGCCACGGGCAAGTTTGTGGTTGAATGAACGGGTGGTGGAACAAACGGACTGCTTCTTACTCTTCTCTCTCCTTTTATTCAGCTCGACCCCTTTGAATCTAGCGACCCGTTTTCATCCTCCAGTGTCTCCACAAAAGGATCCGGTGAGACTGGCGGCTTATTTTCCTTCTGACTCTTTCTTGGGCATCAGAGAAGCCCTACCCAGTAGACCCTTTTATTTCCAGAGCTGGTGTGTCCTCAGCATTTACATCCTTAGTGGCCTCCTGATCCTCTCCTGAGGCGGTCTGGCCAAGCTGGTACCCTCTGGCTGTTCACCGTCCCGGGCAAGAGCCAGTGCCCTTCCAGGAAGGTGGCCTGGCAGTTGGGGTGAATTCAGTAACAACGCCAGCGTTACTGATCACTCTTTTCTTGTTCCTTAGTGTAAATCTTTGGTTTGTACATCTGGATTTCTTTTCCTAGAAGAAACCAAAGTTCAGCTGAGAGTGCAGGCTTGCACACGGAGGGAGGGGTGCGCTTGTGGACCCCCTTGCTTTTGGAAACAGGCCCTGCTCGGTCCTGCTGCCTTGCCAGCAGCTTGTGCTTGGTGGTTATAGAGTTTGGTGTCACAGGTGGGCTTCTGAGTTACTCCAGGCAAATCGCCCCACCAAAGGAGAAAGCTCAGCAAAAATCTCCACCCACAGATGACTTCCCTGCATAGCCTCAGTGGGTGTTGGGTCAAAGCAAGACTCTTGCTGAGGGTCTGTATCCAGATGTGTGACCCTGGCAAACAGACGTGACTCCCTAGGTCTTCTGCCTCGGGGGCCCTTGAATACCAAGGGGCAGTGTTTCCCCTTGACTGGAGGCATGTTCCCTGGATCCCCTGTAACTCTGCCTCTTTTGGTGCTGCTTGCAGGTCCCTTTGGAACCTTAGACCCCTTTGCAAGTGGGTCCTTCAATAGTGCTGAGGGCTTCGCTGACTTCAGCCAGATGTCCAAGGTAAAGCACAGCCCACTACCCCCCAACAACCCCTACACCTCTGCCAGTGTCTTCATGTCTCTCATTGTGGTCTTGTCATGGGCTTCCAGGCATAATTGTTAATGCCATTTATGAGTCAGTCTAAAAACTTCCTGTGGCTGTGATTGGGCCCGTTTCCCTTCCTCCTGCCAACACTGCCAGGAGTATCCCTGAGACATCCATGCCATGCGCTTCCCGTGCCGCTGCTCCTGATGATGTCTGTTAGCCATCAGATCTCAGGCGACCAAGTCACCTCTGTAGCTGGACAAACCCGAGAAGGCGTTGGTTAGGCACAGAGGGCCGGGGAGGGTTGTGGGCACCAGGCCTGGTGTGCAGTGGCTGAAACCAGAACTGTGGACCGTGGGTCTGGGAAAAGAGGCCAGCTGTCTGGAGCTGCCCATGACAGAACCCAAGAAGGGTGTGGAAAGTGAGGGCTAGGCCTGGCGAGTAAGCACACAGGTGAAAACTGAGCTGCCCAACATAGGTGACATTCCTGCCATTGTTGGGCAGGACAGCGGATCCACTCGGCCACAGTGGCACAAACTGACTGTGGACATGGCCTCACATGCTGGTAGAGCCCTGCTGAGGTGGGCGGCAGGAGGTGCAGCTAGAAAGGTGAATCTTCAGTGGGGCAAGTGCTCAGCCTGTAAGTCACGTCCAAAACAGACAGATCAGGAAATGCCAATAGAAGCCGTGGCTACTGAGGTAAATTTCAGAAGAAACTGCTAAGAAGTTGAAAACACCGGCCTTGGCAAGTGAGAGAGGCAATGAGCCCAGGGTCTTTCACTGTATGTTCTCCACTATAACCTTTAACATCCATTGGTTTGAAATATGAGCCTGTATTTCTCTAATGAGAATTAAGGGAAGCAGCCTTGGGTGTACCCCGTGTGGCCCTGAGTCCCCTGTCCCCTGTGTGCATGCCCGTGTATACTCTGCTCCTTCTCAGTAGCTCCTCAGGCCAGTGAGGGTGGGACCCCACACTTGCCTTGCATCTTTACCAACCCTTTGGTCTAGCCCAGGGACCGTCAGGTGCCCATGAGCAGAACACAGTCCCCTTCCTGATCTTGCCTCCTGGGTGGGTAAAGCTAACAAGTCAAGAGGGTGGTGAAGGGACTGGGAAGGACACGTCCAGAGTGCATGGAAGCCGAGCACCCGCAGCGAGGAGTCGGCACTGCCTGCTCCCTGGGGTGTCCTGCCTGCTTGCTCCGCGTTCACTCAGCCCAGGAAGCACATGATGGGATGGGTGCTGGGTGCTGTGGTTAGCAGCATGTGATTGTGGCACACAGCTTCTGAGAAACATGTGAGATTCTGTTTAGGTTTCCAAAGACGGGCATGAGCACACACTATGCAGGTAGCAAATCCAGCTCCTGTTGAGAGGCAAGGGTTCTGTTCCACCACCAGCTGCTGCAGCGGGGAGCCGAGAGAGGTACTGGTAGGGCCTCTCTCCTCCCAGTACCCGGAGGGACCAAGCCTCCATCCCACTATTGAAGCGCTGTGATACAGTCAGGATGCCATCTGGGATTGGCTATATGGCACCAGGGCATGAGGTTTGCCCTCACATTTGCCTGCCACTTAGTAGCTGTTATACCCGCCTGTGCTCCTTGAGTGGAGCCATGTGTCTCTGCTTTGTCCCCGCTTGGAAAGCAGCACTTGAAACCAGAAAACAACTGCCACAGGGTGGCAGCAGCCCCCAGTGAAGGGGTTCAAGTGACAGCTCAGGCTGTTGCAAATGGGCCCTCTCCCAGCGGGAGGGTGGCCCCTGAGGCAGAGGGAGTGGGAGCTAGCGGAGCTGGGAGCGGCGAGGCGCCCCCATTTCAGCAGGCCTGCCAGCTGAGGCGGCAGGGGCTGGCGGAGTGCCGGGCCCTTCCTCTTGGCCTGTTCTGACCTAGAGTCATGTTTTCCCTCTAATCCCGTCCCCCTTCCTCGTTCTCATGCTCCGAACGGCAGCCCGCACGTGCACCTGCGGCCAGCGGCCCCTTCCTGTTCGCGCGCTGGACAGGACTGTGGAAAATGTGCGTCCAGACCCATTGTTTTGTTCCCATGACCCCACCAGCTCCAGCCAAGCCACTCATCCAGCCACACGCCGAGCCCTGACCTCACTGGGCTGTTGTTCCCTGTGGCGCCCTTTCTGTTTTTCAAGAACAGCATCATGTGTATAAATAAAATGCTGAGGGAAATGAAAGTAAAGTGGCAAGAAGGTGTTTTTTTTTTCTTCCTCTTGGTTTTGTTTTGTTTTGCTTTTTTTACCCCGCCAGCTCTGCCCCATCTTTGCAGGGTTGGGATGCGATGCACAGTGGTCCCCTTGCTTAACCTCACCCTGAATGGAAGTGTCGTCCTCAGCTTGGCAGTGCTCAGGGATCTGATTCCAGGCTCGATCCCAGAGCTGAGGTCCACCCCACACGCACACGTGGATGCGCATCCGTCCTGGCTCCGTCCCCTTGCTTTAAGAGCAAACCACCCCAGGCAGATTTCAGGGGGCATCTGAGCATAACAAAGAGACTCGAACATAATTATTTCACCTCATCCCCCTGAAGAAAAGCCGTCTATGTAATACTTGGCTGGTTATCAGCCCATTTTCTGTTTTTCAAGCTTTTTTTTTTTAAACTACGCATTCCTATTTAGGGCTGTATTTTTAAAGTTGAGAGCTATTTGCTTTAAACTAGCTCTTTAAACTGTGAAACCCAAGCATGCATCTCTTAGAGCTGCTTTTCATAGAAACTTTTCTTGTCTTTTTTTTTGCACATGCTTTACTCTGGGCCAGCCCAGAGTGCCCCTCCCGGCTTCACTGAAACCCTTCTAAAAATAGCGACTTTCCCTGAAGCCACAGCCTGAGTCCGAACGAGTCGGGTCCCAAAGGAGGCTCCTTGGGAAACTTGACATCGTGAAAATTGGAATTTAGAAACGGTGCAGGCCTTGTCGGGGTTGGGAGTGACATCACTCACAGTTGCAGGGGAACCCGGCATGTTTGGTTGGCACCCTTTCCTGTTGGAGTGAGCTGCCTGGCCCAAGAGGTTTAAACAGAAGAGGGGGAGGAAAGTCAATTTGGCCAACTGTCCGCAGCCAGCTGGGTGACTGCTGCATTGAGTGGTACGGGGCAAAGTGCATGGGCTGGGTGTACAAGGACACTGTGCACCCCAAGTCGGAATGGGAGCACGTCCAGAGGGCTCTGGGCATCACTCTGGGCCTGTTCTCCAGAGCTGACACATTTCCAAACCCAGGACAAGGACCAGGGGCCATGCTGGGGTCTCAGGGCCCATCACACCCTCTCCGCTAAGAAACCAGTTCTGATTCCTACCTGCCTGTCTCTAGTTATGGGAATTATGGGAGCCCTGGGCCTGAACTGTTTGTGAATGGCAGAGGCAGAACAGAAGATCTCCCAGAAAAAGACCTGAGATCACCATTTTAAAGCTCAGTGATGAGTCGGCACCACCCCTGAGTATTTGTGCCGCCTCCCTCTGGGAAAGGCGGATAGCAGAGAGCAGCAGGAATAAAGCGAATAAAGCGTCATAGCCCATGGGGCATTTGCACATTCCTGCGGGCGTCTAAAAGAATTCTAGTCATGTCATGCCCTTGGCCTGATGATAGGTGCTGTCTTTGTGCCATCGTTGTCATGGTGGCAGTTGAAGTGATTTACTGATGTGCTTTTTGAGTTCTTGCTGCAGCCCTGGAGCTAGGGCCCGTCATTACTGTCATTTCACAGATGAGGAAGCAGGCCTGGAGCAGTTATTAGGTGGCTGTGCTGGGCCTCCAGACCCCATCCCCCATCACTGTGCTGAGCAGCCTGACCAGGCAGGCGCTGCAGAAGAGCAGCAGGGTTTGCAAAGAGACTCCCTGACGTTTGCACCTAAAAGGACTAGTGTCCACAGAGCCTAGACTGGGCAGCAGCAGCCATAAAGGGAGGTGCCTCCTTGCCCAGCTGCCCTGCTTGCCAGGGTGGGCTTGACACGAGATGAGGCTCTCTCATTTCCTCAAGGCCTTCTGCCTCTTGCCTGCATCACGCATGTGTCCTCATCGGGCCTGAGGACAAGGATGCTCTGCGCAGAGCATGGCCCCAAACCCACCTATGTGGGTGGTTCACGGGCAGCCATGGACAGAGCCCAGGACAGGAGCCCTGGCCCGGAAGGGTTTCTGCCCTTACTTTACCCCTGAGGTGCTGTGTGGCTGTCAGGCTGCATCTCCTCTTGGTGCCTCAGTTTTCTTGTGTGTGAAAGGGAAGTGATGACAGTAGGACTGTCATCCTGTCCCAGGATGAGGTGGGAAGGCCAGCACAAAGCCAGTACTTCCTACCCTCGAGGTCCCGGGGGGCTGGGCAGAGCAAGGGTGCCTAGTGGGGTTGGCTGAGTGTGCAGCAGCCCCTCTGCTCTCCCGTTTCCTTCCTGTGGTCTGGCTACCTGTGTCCTCCCTAATGCTCATGTCTACACCATGTCCCTGTCCCCATCCCTGGGTCTGGAGGAGGAGGGGAAGCCACACCCCGTGGCTGGAGGCAGGCACTGCCCCCCACTTGTAATCTACCCCAGCCTGTCCCAGCCCCGCTTGTCCTTTGTGTCCTGCTTCGTGCCGGCCCCTTGGCCTACTCCCTGGGGGAGAGGTAAAGAGCAGCCCCTTCATCCCCCTGCATCCCCTGCTGTGCGAAGCCTGCCCACCGTTCCCTGCGTCTCCTTTCTTTCCTTCTTTGAGGAGGGTGTTAGTGTTTTTGCATGTTTCCACCAATTCCTTTTGTTCTTAATAGCCGTGTATCTCCTCGCCCTACTTTTCCTGGTTATTTTGTATTTTAGTGAAAGTGTCCCCCTCACCCCCGTAGACAGGAGGCCTGCGGTCCTTTGACCCATCTTCTGAGATGAGCTGGTCCTCTGCAGCTCGTCTGGCTATCAGCCGGCACTGTGCTGGCAACTCAAGGCAGGTTGCTGCCGTTTGGCTCAGCCAGCAGTAGGCTGCCCCATTGCCCGTGCCTACTGAAAGCATACTGGGGAGGAGAGGGCGCGCACAGGCTTGCCCCCCAAGGCCACTTGGGTCAGCCAGAGGAGCAGGCGCACTGGCAGTGTGGCACAGGGACATGTGACTGTCAAGTCCCACCAGATTGTCCAAGCAGTCATAGGGGCCAGAGGGGGTGTCAGGGAGCTCCAGGGGCAGTGGTGCGGTCTGGCCAGTCTCTGAGGAAGAAGAGGGACTTGGTGGGCAGGGTGGGCTGAGCTCCCCAGCCGGAGACCCTGTGTGTGCAGGGGCCTGGAGACAGGGCACAATGGGCAGGAGGGAATGGGGGTGACCGCAGGGATGAATCTACACAATGAGGCAGCGGGGCACCATGGTGACGGCTCTGTGTGTGTCTGGAGGGGTGCTCGGCAGTTACCTGCAGGCATCGGGACCATTCAGGGCTACCTACCTACCTACCTGCCTGTCTGCCTACTGCCTGCCTGTCATCTCTACCCACTTACCCACCTGCCCGTGCATCTGTCTGTGGAGCAATGTGGTCCAGTTTGGGTTTGAGACAGGGCTGGAGAGTCTGGACCAAAGGTGAGAAGAGTCTGACAGGCTACCAGGGGTTGGGGGTGGGCTCCCAAGTCACCTGGGGGCAGCCCGGGAGCAAGGAGGGTGTCTCCCGCTGTTCTGACCTAGTGCCTGGGACTGCCTGTCCCAGACAGGCTGGCACTCAGCCCAGAGGCCAGCTCGGGTGAGCGTGGGATGCGTCTCTGGAGTGTGAGCAGGAGGCCCAGGGGACCCTGGGTCAGGAAAGGCCTGATACCCCTGTGCAGGGGCAGCCACGTGTGTGGTGGGGCTGCCCCTCCTGGGACACAAGCCCCCTAAGGCTCGGGGCTGCTCCTGCTGCCTCTGTGCTTGCTGGCCTGCCCCTCACAGGGCAGGGGGCCCAGTTGCTGAGGGTGTAGGAAAGTGGGGGTCTGTGAGAGATCCAAGCCCAAGCAGGACCGTCTGCGCAGCCTGGAGGGACGGGCTCGTGTGTGAGCGTCGGCTCACCGCACATCTGTTGCCCATTTTAACAGTTATTTTTGCCTCTCTTTCGTGTCCTCTCTTACAGCCCCCAACTTCTGGCCCTTTGACCTCCTCCTTTGGAGGGGCAGGATTCTCAGAGGACCCCTTTAAAAGTAAACAGGATACTCCCGCTCTGCCTCCGAAGAAGCCTGCTCCTCCGAGGCCTAAACCGCCCAGCGGTCAGTACACTTTCTTCTCTTGCAGCCCCCCCACCCCCGCTGCAGAATGGTGGGGAACCAAGGGCCCCTGTGTTCACCAGCCCAGAGGGCAGCAGGCGCTGCAGGGCCCCTGCTCAGAGCAGGGCGGTCTCTCCTGTACCTTGTGGCCTGGGTCCACACACTGTGTGTGGCCAGAACACTTCCCAACCACCAGGCCTCATTCCATCCTGCCAGCCCCCTTGCCAGGCTCTGTGAGGGCTACAGGTGGTTTCCAGAAGCCCTGGGGGAGCTGCCCCCTGGGCTCTGAGGTCCCTCCGGCAGCCCCCACCCCAACCTGAGCTCTTTCCCCCACTGGCTAACAGAGGGCGCAGGGGTGGTCGCTGCAGTGGTGGCTGAGGCCACCCTGTCCGTCCAGCGCCGCCACACTGGTCAGGAACAGAGAGTGAGGGTGGAGCTGGGGGTCGTCCTTGACCGTGTTTGATGCAAGAAGAGGAAGGATGGCTCGGCATCCTTCCCCGGGGCTCTGCCCTGGCATCTCACCAGGGAACCCCGAGCAAGGGGCGTCCTGCAGACTCTGCGCCCCCTGGCTGTGGCCAGTGCTGTGATTTCTCTCTCCTTGACCCCGGGGCCCTGCTCTCCCACACAGCCCCGAAGATTCTGCAGCCTTTGAACTTGTGTGGGATCTCTGTTCTGTGGTGGCTGTTGACTGACAGGCCAGGTTACCAGACTTGAAAGCAGGAAGCTATTGCTTGGAGCAGCAGAGGTCTTCGCTGCAGTCCCCTGGCCCCTTTCCCTTTCTCCATCCCCCCACTGGTTCTTGGTGCCCCAGCCCGGAGGTCCTCCTTACTCACTGGGCTCCAGGCAGTTCCACCTGTGTTCCTGGACTGTGGGTGGCTGCAGGGGGCCACACACTCCCTCCATCACGTCTTCTGCTCTTCAGCCTTCCTCCTCACTACAGGCTAGTGAACTCCTTAGTTGTAAGCAGTCTTTGGTCCAGGCTGGCCAGTCTTCCTACATAAGGTCTACCTGTCGGTAGAGATGAATGGAGGGGAAGTTACTTGGAGAACGCTGCCTCTCCTCACTCACCATCGCCAGGGCTGGCCAGAGCTTTCTCTCAGAGGAACAGGAACCCCACCCTCAGGGTCACTTCAGCCTCCTTGCCCGTGAATCAGGAGGGAAGTGTGGCCAATGGGCCACGTGGATTTATAACAGATCTCCTGTGAGCTGTGAGGAGAAACAGATGTTTAAAAAGATGACTTCTGTAAGCCACACATCAAAGGCATTTACCGTAACGCGGGGAGAAAAGCAAAACAACACAGGAATTCCCTTCTCAGCTGCTTGTGCCTTAGCGGCCGTAGCTCTAAGGGGACCCCCAGTGGTCTCCTGGTGGAATGGCATTGGGCCTCCTCACTGCCTGAAAAATGGGAGCTAGAGCATGCATGCATGTGCACACATATCCAGTTTGTGTGCACACTCATGCCCCCATGCAGGCACACACAGTTGCACAATACACATAGTGCATGTATTCATATACTGCTCACATAATACAGACATACATAGGCACACCCTGCCCGCACTCCCACGTTTGCACGCACCTGCATGCCCACACACCCACATTCTCACATGCATGTCCATGCACACGCGTGCAGAGCCACACAGCACACAGTGTTTGTCAGCCCTCAAGGAGGAGATACTCCACTCACTGGCTGCCAGGTGCAGACCTTGTTTCTCAGAGTTTCTTGGAAACTCTTACCTTGGCCTCTTCCCCTTACCTAGAACCAGGTTTAGGTCTGCCTTTGAACTTGTGCTCCTCTCTCACCCCCATATGTCTCCCTCTACAAGCCTCCCTGTTCCATTTCTGCTTCTGCTTTTAGTGTACCTTGGGCTTAGAAAACAGAGAAGCCATCCATGTTTTGGGAGGTTTGGGCCTATGCCCAGCGGAGGTCTCTGGCTACCTTTGCTTGTGGCTCATGTCTGCTGCAGCCTTGCTCTCCCATAGCCAGTGAGGTGCCCCAGGTAACTGATTCAAATCCATAGACCCTTAGGAAGTGCTTGCGTGGCTGTTATCTCACCAGATCCTAGCAAGACCTGCAAGATGGACAGGACAGGCACTCGATGCCCTGTTACCAGAAGAGGAAAAGAAGTGAGAGAGGTCACGTGGGTTGCCTGAGGGCATAGAGCAGGTGGCAGCCCTGGACCCAATGACCTGCCCCTGCCTGCCACCGCCCTGGGCCTCCTCACCCACCCCATAGGTGGGTATGATGAGAACCGAGCCATAAGGGTCACGTGCTCTGGAAAATGGCTGATATGCATGTAGTGGTCAATCTCCTAGCAGCCACCATGTATCTATGTAGAGGTCTAAATGTCTCTCATCTGATTCTCCTACCTAGAAGCAATAGCTGAACAGAAAAACTCTGCCCTGTACACACTGCTGGGCGGTAGGTACAGACCGTGTGGCGGTTGCTATTTGAATGCTCTGGCAGTGTTTCTGCTGTGATTTCATACTAACCTCTAACAACCTGAAAACTGCTGGCCACACAGACATACCCACATCCACGTCTGACCAGCCGTTGTTTTAAGGAGTCACATTTCGGAGGACATGGTCGGCTCCCTGGGGGAGGCAAAGCCAGGTGTCCGCCCCACACTGCTGCTCTGGTCGCGGGAACCGAGGCCCAGCCGTGCTCCCTGCCTTCCCCTGTTCTGTCCACACTGCACGGAGTAGGGCCACTTAAGCCCAGGAGCAGCCAGGTAGCCACCTGGTGATTAGCAGGACAGGACAGCAGGTGGGAGCAGGAGGAGGCGTGCTCAGGGTGCTGGTTGGGAAAATAAGAGGCCTGCTGCTGCTTTTCTTGGCTGCGCAGGATGGGAAGCAGCCAAGCTGATGTCAAGTTTTGCTTTTTTGTTTTGTTTCATTTTGTTTTCATATTTTTAAGAAAACATATAGTCCAACAGTTGAAAGTGAGGGAATGGAACGTGCCTTTCTGCTCTTCTCATTGACCTGGCCTTTTCCCACTCGGAGAGCCGCCCTCACCTGGGAAAGCCATGTGGTCACACTCAGGGGTCTTCCTGACGCTCGGGGTCATCTGTGGTCCCAGCGTGGCTGGAGAGAAAGTGGGGAGGAGCTCTGCTCCTGAGTTCCCGTGGCCCCGGTGGCCGAGTACAGTCCTGTGGAGATAGGCGGAGGGGGCGGCCCAGTCTGGTGAAAATGCTTTTCCTTACAGATCACACACACAGCTTCATACCTGCACTCACAGGAAGCAAGATGGAGAAACGGGCTTGTGTATCATCTTGCTGCCCTGCAGATGGAATGGCTCCAATTTAGCACATTTCCAACCAGGGCTTGTCCATCCCAGGGCCTCAGAGGTTTCTAGAACCCTGCCTGGTCAGCTCCAGTGTTGTAAGCCAGGAGAGGCAAATCTAATGCCGTTTTCCTCTGTTCTCTGGGCTGCTTAACCCGCTAGAATCCAGGGAAGCTGCTTAGTCATTCTGGTTTCTGGACATAGAAGGGAAGGAAGGACGCGAGTTCATATTCCAGCCCTGCCACTACCTCCCTGAGGGGCTCTGAGCCTCAGTCTCCCTGCCTGAACATGGGGCCGACTCTGGCCTAGCAGGTGGCCACATGCAGAAAGTGCCTTGGCAGCAATCAACCGTGGTATGATGTGCCTGGTGTGCATCCTCCAACCCACCCCAGGGTACAGGGACCAGGTTACAGGCTTCTTTCCCAGGAGAGGACAGGCTGGACTTAAGGCAGCCACGCGCGGGCAGGGAGTGACTAAGGGCTACTTTTCCCTATGAGATTGCAGTTTCGCAGAAATTTTTGTAGTTGAAAAAGGCAAGAGTGTACGTGGGTAGCTGAACTTCAAAGAGGGCTCCAGCGCCCTTTCTGGCAAAGCTCAGCCATTGTCACTCACCTGAGACCAAATGTGTACTCAGGTCTGAGTCGCATGTGGCTCTTTGGATGCCATGTCTTGTGCACTGGAGCCTGCATTTCTCACACTTTGTGGGGGCTGTTTTTGTTTCCTTAAAGGTTGATTGAGGTTTACTTGGCATGCGAGAAACACTGTGTATTTTAATTGTCAGCCTGGGCAGTCACTATGGGGGACCCCTGTACCTGGGAGCCTCACTGAGGTTCCCCATGAAAGAGTTCTTGTGCCATACGTGTCTGACTGGGGCAGCCCGTGGCTAGCCATCTTCTCTCAGTGCCAGAGACTCAGTTCTCTCCTGACCCAAGCCAGAAAGCACGTCCTTGGGAACAGTAGAGGTTCTCCCTATAGGACACACACACAGCCTCAGCGTCGGCACTGAGCTGACTGTGCCAGGACGCCGTTTTCTAGAAAGGTCTGTCCAGGTATTCAGTAATGAGCAGGTGTCTGCCTGGAGTACAGAGAACTGGTTATTGCAGGCAAATTCAAAACAGACACAGCCAGCAGCCGCCGAAACCTGTCAGTTAGAGTTAGCGCTGGCCCACCTCCCCCAGGTAAACAATGGTGTATTTTCTGCAACGGACCAGAGATCGAGATCAGTCAGAACTCACCGCTGAGGAGTTTCTAGGTAAAAGTTGTTGATTTGCAAAGAGAGAAACAGATTTTTTTTTTTAAGGGCAGGAAATGGCTGTGTGGGTGTCAGTGATTGGGCCTCGCGCCCTGCGGCGACAGATAGCGGGATCCTGCGCCCGGCCCCACCCTTGCCACTTCCTGCAGTGCAGCCCTGCGTTGCGGTCCCTGCAGGGCCCCGGGTGACACCAGCTAGTGCTCTTTCACCGCTAACCAGCCAGTCACCTTTAACCTCTCCCCAATTTAATTATCCCTTTATTACTGCCAATGACCTTTTCACCTCCAGAATAAAGCCCCGCATATGCTGGAGATGTCTTTTTGTCCCTCTTCCCTGTTCCCGTAATTCTTCCAATGAGCACAGGAAAATTAGACACCATTTAACCTGCGTCCTGTTTGATTCAGATGATTCGCAAAAAAAAAAAAAAGGGAAGAAAAAATCATGCCTCTCTTAGAACACGAGTTCCTCCCACAGGGCGCATGGACCTGCGCAGGGTGACTGACGGTGGTGGCTTCTGTAGTATGGGCGGTTTTCTGGTTGCCGCTGGCTGAGCGGTCACCTTGACCCATCCTGGGGGAGCCACCCCATGGGACTCTGTCAGAGGGGGAGCCCTGAGTTCTCAAACAGCACCAGCCCATGTGCGTGCGCAGCTATCCTTGAGCCCCAGAAAGCCAGGATGAGGGTACCACTGGGTGGCCATCCTTGGCCCATCTCGGTCCTGACCTCTTGCTTGTTGCACAAGATCCACTTTTAAAATGGCTTCTCCAGTTGAGCCATGCGGTTAGCACCTCAGCCCTGAACTTAACTACTTTAATTCCGTTCCCACGATGATTTCAAAGAGATAATTCAGTGGGTACATGTGAACTTCTAGAATGGGACATGGGTGGTTCACCACCAGCTCGAGAAGCCTGGAAAATTCCAGCACTCCCTGGCCAGCCAGGGTCAAGCTCAAGGTTGGGGTGCTCCCAGGAGCATCAGATGGTGCCCCCTCTAAATGCCTCTCCACCAGCTGGGAGGATCTGGGAGTGACCCCCCAACAATGCGGGCACCAGAGCCGCAGGCCACTGCTCCCTGCAGTGGGAGAGGCAGCCATCTCCTTTCAGCCTCTGACATGAAAGCTGGGGGACAGGTTGTTCTTTGGGCTGAATTTCTGCTCTGCAGTCGGCTGAGATTGAAAATAGAAGCATTTGCCTATCTCAGCACACACCCACCCTGCTGCACCCAGAATCCTGTTTTGAGTGGGAGTTGAGTGACATGGTTGTCACTTGCTATTCAGGGGGTACAAATGGCCAGGCTTGGGGTCCTGGAGCAAAGGGGTCAGAGCTTAGCCAGCCAGGGTCCTGAGGGGCTGCAGGGCCATGGGATGGGGTACAGGCCCAGACTCTCCTGTCTCATAGCCAAGTGTGGGTATGACAAACCAGAGCCCTGTGAGGCCCCCACTTTTCTGACAGAATGAACGTGGCCCCTCATCTCAACGTTTCAAAGCACTGTGTCACTCCCTCTGCCGCTGTCAGCTGGAAAATGGCACATGCGTGTGATTGAGGCAGGAGGTAGCAGGGGCTGTGGGGACATCCTGGCATAGATGGAGTGAGAGTGGGGGCTCCCCGTGCCACAGCAGGCTTCGCTGGCTCCTGGCGGGCTCTGCACCTCCCACTCTCATGCTTACTCGCCTTCTTACCCGCCTTCAGACCCTCTGTGTGTTACCCGGGGTTTGTTAAGTGGATGCGGTGCCTCTGTGCCCACTCAGAGGCAGTTCTGGCAGCTTCAGCACCCTTCTGCAGGCAGGAACCAAGGCTGGGCCACCGCGGCCCATGGTGCAGACCCAGGGGCCCCACCTGGCTGCTGGGTGCCAGCAGCTCCCCATCCCCCAAGGCACCCCGAGCCCCCGGGAAGGGACAGGACAGGCTGGCACAGAGGGATGCCCCAGCAAGGTGCCCAAGGCACAGAGCAACAAGCAAATGTGATTTTTTTCAAAACAGAGACGGTGAGACCTACAGTCTGTTTTTTGTTGGGAAGACTGCTTTGAGATGTGTAAGTCTCATACCCCACTCCCCGTTTTTTGCTCAGAACTGAAGTAGCCCTCGCCAGGTATCGTAAATGTCACTAAGAGCCTTTTGTGAAACCTCTCAAAGGTTGCATTTCTCATGCTCAGTGACTTTTTTTTAGGACCCCATTCACCCCCTTTTCTCCTATTTCTTCTGATGGTGGGATGACCCCACATTCATCGGTCTTATCAGCTGGTATGATTTCCATGACCTTTGACCACCCCAGACATCTCACAGAGGATGAAAAACATCACTTGTGGGGTGCCTGGTGGATGATAGTAAATATTTGTTCAGCTTTTTCTCAACAATTCAGCACCAAACCTCATCCTGTTCCCTTCAATGCATTAAGCAGATTTTCTTCAAATTCAGTAAATATTTTTAGTGGAAAATCTCGATGCTGTGATGGCAGGGACCTCAGATTTTATCTTCAGGGCCGTGCTGCCTGGCATAGCTTTGATCTGCCGGGCCTGCCTTCTCCCACACGCATCTGTGAGAGCGAGCAGGGCTGGTGTCTGCAGGACCCCTCGCCTCGGGCCCATTGGATGGTCCTAGGGGTCACGGCTAGAGAGACCGCTCCCACCCTCACCTCACCTTCTACCTCCCGCAGAGTGGGAGCCGGGGAAACACCCATATGTGGGGGTGGGAAGCCATCCTTTTCAGTAAATTTTCCCGAGTGGTTACAAATACAGTTTGTGCTCTGGACAGTCATTTTCTCGTTTTCCCCCCATGTCCCCCACTTAGCTTTTTTGCTGGAGTTTGAGGGGCAGGAAGGGAGGTAGCAAGGAGTGCCCCTCGCCTTCTGTGTGGTGTGACTTTCAGAAACCTGGCAACTGTGTGGCTGT